TTGTAGCTTGATTCAACAAAGGAGTCTCTGATTCCTTGAAAAATACAAAAAAACGAAAAAGAGAAATACTGGTTTTAACAGTTCGCGTTTTTTGCAGTTGCATTTTTCGTTGATTACGAATTTCTCTCAGGCAGACGAGACATTATACGTGTCAACCATGCAAATAAACCATGCAAATAATTGATTATAATTAAAAATATACATAATAGTGAATAATTCGCGAAAGCATTCAAGCACTTACTTGAGCACACAAAAAGTGATATATATTCAAACTGAATATTTATTAATTTCGATAAACAAAAAATTTTTAATAAAATATGAACGCATCTCGCAATACATCTTCACGAGATGATGTTATAAATCTAAATCTACTTATTCTCATTGACAGATTCGTTTTTTTAGGAAAGTAACCCTCTTTCCTTAGCTAATCGATTTTCATGCCAAATATCAAATTGGCATAAAAAACATAGGGACACAACAACGCAATAGCAAAAGCTTTTAAATTTTTATTATAATAAAGTTTTTTATTTCTTTTTAACAAAATGTAACAAAATATTGTATCTCTCTCTTTCTCTCTTTTGCCTATAAAATTTCCTGTATAAATATACTTGACTAAATCTATGCAAGAAATTTTGGACTTACAAATTATTTAAATATGTTATAAATGGTATTTGAAAATTTATCTTTATTTTTCTAAAAGAAGATTTTATATTTCATACAAATATAATATTTAAAATTTAAAAGAAATGTACAATGTTAGCGAGAGAACTTTTCAAACGTCCGTTTATTTGCATGGTTGACACGTGTAATGTCTCGTCTGCCTGAGAGAAATTCGTAATCAACGAAAAATGCAACTGCAAAAAACGCGAACTGTTAAAACCAGTATTTCTCTTTTTCGTTTTTTTGTATTTTTCAAGGAATCAGAGACTCCTTTGTTGAATCAAGCTACAACTAGAGAACAGTGTCTCAGTACGACAGCCAAGTCGGCTGATGTCTCACATTCCTAAGCTGATCTTCAATATTTTTGGACTTTGCATTGAAAGCTTAGGTAAGCAATTAGTTAAAGTCATAAATATTCAGAGTGGAGCATTTAAAATGTTACAAGTTGTATATCTGAAAGTACGCATCATAGTGAAAAATACAATGTTGCTTTTCAAAAAAGATATGTAATTGCATACCGCAAATTGTATAATTTTTTTTAACAGCAACTGTATTTTTCTTGTTCACACATTCAACTGGGTTTTTCTTTACATCAATTGATTCATCTCATTGTTCTATTCCTAAAAGTATTCAGTACATTTATCAAAAAATAAATAAGTTTACGGGATATTTTAAATTTTATGTCAAAATAAAATGTAAAATATATGAAATATCTCGTAAATTATTGATTTTTCGACATCTCTACCTTAATATTTTTATATGCAAAATAATTAGAAGTGTCATATTATATGAAAAAATCATGAATAATCATACAATTTCATTTAAAAAAATGATAATGATTATCATGTGACATTAAAGAATCGACATTAAAGATCCGAAAATTGATTTTATCATTATTTGTCCCTCTTCAGACCATGCAATTTTTGTCTGAAGCATTTTTCGCTATGACATACTTTCAAAAATAAAAACTTGTAACACTTTAAATGTCCGACCTTGTAAATAAAACTTAATTACAATCATTATGTAATGAAGTTGAATTATTCAAAATTTGGACTTATTAATTTAAATTTCAATAGGTACATAATGAATTAGAAAGTTTACATTTGCGAAATAATTTAAATTTAAACTTTGTTATTAGGAAATAACATTTACATTAAAGAAATGATCAACTATTTTTTTCTTATTAAAATCAATGAAATTTAGAAAATACAACATATATTATTTATTTTATACTAAAAACTTCATTTATAATTAACTGAAAGTTAATTATGTGACTTAATTTGTTTGTATGATTGTTAATAAAAGTAATAAAGTGTATTTGTTTTAATCCTGAGAAGACTCTGTTTAGCATACAAAATCTAGAAAAATGATAAACCGTATATTATCAAATCTAAATCATGTTCGTAATCTTAATAACAGCAGACTTTTACATATAATAGTTTGACAAAGTGTAAACAATTTTCTATTGTAAATAATATATAATTTAGATATGTACTTTGTGGATCTTTGTAGATCAGATATGGCTTAGAAAAATAAGCAATATTTAATAAATATAAATCTTAATTAGTAGAGTAGATCGTAGTGTAAAGTTTTATGCAATATTACGTGCATCAAAATGCTATAGTATATTACGTGCATCAAATTACTATAGTAGGTACTATTCCATAACCGACTGCGAAGTTCCGCCTTTAAACCGCGCGATGTAATGTTAGGTAATCTATCTGCACAACATGCGTTTTCTCTCTTATATCGCTAACGTACGAAGAAGTGGTCCAAATGCCAATGAAAAGAAGGAGGGCTTCTCACGGCGTTTCTTGCTCCCACTCAAATACATCCATACGTATTACCCCTCTCCCCGATGTTTTCGCCGATGAAATTACGTAAAATCTCCACCAAAATTTCGTGACTCGGAAGCGGTGCAGTCCGCTAACCCTCCTCTCAGATGTATCGCAAACAGTGAAAGTGCGTGGTACGCGCGCTCCTCGTCCGCGTAATAACTACAAGTGAATCGCCGTTCCTATCGTTCGTGAGTATCGATAGACATCAAGGTGTTTTCTTTTGCGTGCTTCCAGGCTTATCGAGCAGGGAGAAAGAGAGAAAGAGAAAACGAAAAGATGCAGCTAAGAGCTTTTTTCTTTGTGTTACTGTTGCACGCTTCAGTTGCAATCGAATTCGGTAAGTACGCCTCGGTGACTTCAACGACCGCACGTGCAATAAACTCCGACGCCGGTAATTTGAGTTCTCGGTATTATTTTCGATGTAAGAAAAGCGCGGAATTCACGTCGAAATCAATAGATTCGTTACATAATGCCGTTGTACTAATTTCGATGTAAAAGTGAAATGTCTCGAATAATAAAATGCCTAATACGTATTGTACCAAGTACGATTAACTTCGCGGTTTAACCCGTTTCTATATTAAACACACAGTCAATTTGTTTAAAATTGAATCCAATAATTGTGCGTCCAATCAAATTTGTAAGTTAAATAAATTAATTATATTTAAGATCTTTTCAATCAAAGTTTTTATTAATCTAATTATAGGATCTTGAAAATGAGACGACGTATATAGAGATTTTGTGTCTCTACATTCGCACTTCGCAAAATGTTAGATACGATACTTCGCAAAATTTCTTATTAAATTACTGTTGAAACTTGTATTCACTTATACATCGATTAAATAGATAATTACGTAATTGAGTCTTTTTAAAAGGAGTATTAATTATGGCGAGAGATTGGTGCAAAATTGATTACTTTCACTTAGCCTTAAGGATTACATCAAGCCTTAAGGATTACATCAATTACACTATAAATTCGCACTTAAAATAATGCACAAAGCCAAATTTTAAAAACAATAACCTAATAAGATTCCCCAAATTAAAAATACATAAGTAAGTAAAGCAGATGGGAATCAGCGTTGTTATTGGTACGCACTATTTAATTTACGTGAAATTTGCTTTATTCTAAAGACGTTTTTGACTATCTTTCTTAGCCATCTTCAGTAATGAATTAAAAAATTACATTAAACTCTCTTTTAACTATTTTAACCAAGTTTTATTACATTGTTACATTGTTAATTTTAATTATTTATTCATTTCCATTATTTATTAATTGTATCGTTGCCAAGATGCAAAGTGTGTGTTTTATTACGTTCGAGGACATACAATTAGACTATGCAGCCCTTCAACTGCACGGATAGCTATTGGAGATACCCTATAACTGCTTCCTCACTCACTGGACGTGAAAGAACACGCGTTAAGAAACTAAGAGCGAGAGTTTAATGTAATTTTTTAATTCGTTACTGAAAATGGCTAACAATAAAAAAGATAGCCAAAACGCTTGACTTTAGAATAAAGCAAATTTCATGTAAATTAAATAGTGCGTACCAATATCCATGCTGATTCCCATTTGTCCTACTTATTTATGTATTTCAAATTTTACGTCGCTTTTTCCTCGTGACGCAATTAATTTTTTTGTCTATAAGTCATTTCAGCCATCATATATTTCGAAATGAACTATGATAATGAAACTGTGAATGAATAATTTATTAGGAATAGAAAGCCCCTAGTAATAAAGAACTACTAATACAGTAAAAACACTACTAAAATGTAGTAGTGTCACTCCTATACCAGCAGTGCCACTACTACATTTCAGTAGTGTTATCACTGCGCTACTAGATTTTTTTTACGAGGGGCATTATAGCGAATTTTATATTAATTTAATTAGAAAAAGAAGAAATTAAGTTTTATGTTTTTACGACACTATTATGCTAAAATCTGATATGTATGTTTAAATTGACATATAGACATGATGTATAGATAAGACATATATATAAATTTTGACAATACAAATATAATCTTTAAAGAAATGGATGCATTATATACGAAAGTAGTTGAGCTGAATTACAAAAAATTTCCAATAGTTTTCAATTTTCAATGAAGGAAAGAAAGAAGAGAAAAATTTTATTTTTTCTTTATAAATTACTATAAATCAGAAAAAATACTTACATTATTGCGTTCTAGTCTTGAACAAATACAAAATAAATAGAATAATATAACTTAATGACTATTTAAAATCAAACGTAAAATATATTCAAAATTGTGGAAAAGTGCGCCAAAATATATCTACCAGCAAAAACAAGACATGCTATTTATTTGTTGATGTACATATTATATAATATAATGTAATATCCTATTTTGTAATAGAATGCGAAATGAGTGATATGTTCTCAAGGAACGCATAGTAGGTACTATCAAAACCGGAATACCTGCAAGTGAAAGTTGCATTATATGCGATTACGTGTGTTCATTCAATGTTAATAAGTACATATTAAAATTCAATGTTAAAACGTATTCTCGCGATAATTTGTAAATTTCCGCTAAAAATTGAAGCTATTATAAATAGTTTAATTGTGTATAATTTCTCTACTTTGTTTCAATTGGACTATCGCAGATTTTTCTTCAAGCGATCTTTTTCGTAATGTTCATTTATGATGGATTGTCAATTATATGTTTTCAGAGGACAACTTTAAAAATTGTCACCCGAATCTGTCAGGTTTTGACGTCTGTGTACGAGAAGGATTGAATGCAATACGGCCTTATTTCAAAACCGGTTTGTCGAAATACAATGTTCTCCCATTTGATCCTTTTTTTGCCAGAGAGGTAACAGTCAGAAGAGGAGTACCGAACTTTGGTTTTACTTTAACACTTCGAAATGTTACCGAGACCGGATGGTCCCTCAGTAAAGTAACGAAATTTGTTTCCGACTTGAATAATTACAAGGTACCTTTATTATCAGATATCATAATATCATTGCTATCGGAGAATTGATTTCACATTATATTTTTGGCGACTTAATATTTAGGCATCTCATATCTTATATTAATGCTATATAAAAATATATTAAGAATTGTGATGGTCGTATATTATTTTCTTTGTACGACATTTAATTTTAATTATAAAGAAAAAATGGAAAAGCAATGTGATGGGCGACGAAATATAACTAAACAAAATATTGCATCAATTAGGTTGTGTACACACAAAATTTCCCGGAGAAAATGCTGACGGGTAATTACGAATTTAAAGGCGTGTGCTTCAGCTCCACTATATCCAATAGAGGAAAATTCACGCTTACTTTGTGTAAGTGCTATTAGCAAACTTGCATTTGATTATACCGAATCGAGTATACAATATAAACAATTTTTTTACAGTTAATATTATGATAAAATATGGCTAAAGTAATAGAAATATGCATTAAAGTTGGGTGTTTCTAATATTTCTGTATATAATATTGTATTTCGCAATTTCTCCTCATTGTAGATGATCTCATTCAAACGACGACAGTGACCAGGTTGCCGGGACAGAAAGTGAAAGCTCAAATGGATGTCCAATCTATTAATGATTTAAAACTTCATATTACAAATCTTCTATTTGGCAAGCAATTTTTTGAAAGTATCCTTGATAAAATAATTAATACCACATGGCAACCGGGTTTTGTTGTGACGAGAGGTCTGATTAACGAACTCGTTTCGACCGCTTTTACAGAAATCTTTAATGACGCTTTCTATGATTTTCCCTTCGAGCAGATTTTTAAATCAAAGCCGTTGATAAATTAAAATAATTATAACAAGATATGCTGAGATTGAAATCGACAAAATAAATATCTTAATTAGTAAATAAGTAAGAAGTGTATCTGCCAGTAATATATTACTGTAAGTAATCTGTTCGTTAAACAACAGTACAAGAGAACGAAATTTATTCAGAAAAAATTTTATACGACTCTTGTTACATTTACGTAATAATTTTCATATAGTGTATGAATTGTGTGTAAATTAGCATATAAGATACACATGTGTCATGCTATGTTAAGTATATAAATATATTCTTTTTTACAATCTACACACCTTTTGTATTAAATATTTTATGTTAATTCCGAGTAATTCATCTTTTGTGAATTAATACCTATCTTATTAATTTAATTTATATTATATTTTGTATCTTTATAAACTACCATATACATTACAGCTCATATATGTATGATTACATCTTCCGACAAGTGCTATGAGGAATGCCAAGTGTTTTAATGGCAAGACAGAATGAGTTTCTTTTCGCATCAATAGCTGCTCGCCTTGAAGACACTGCGGTCTTCGAACTGTCTTCGAACTTACATTCTTGCAGAACACATGGAAACATCGTTGCGAGGCAATGAACCGAGAGACATCAATTTATTGAGCATTGTTAGATAATGTTAATTTTGATCAGCGGGCGAGTCAAGTTTACATAAGTCATATATCATTTTCGTGTCGTTCAACTCTGATCATTTTAATAAATACTGATCTTCTCTTAAAGTCAGATTCACGGTATTCGTTGAAGACAGATGCGTACGTGCGTGCGTGCACGTTGCATCTTTCCCATGAACAAATGTACAGACTCACTGTGTGGAATCTTAACCCAGGTGTGCAATGACCTTCCTTTTCTACTCATTTATCAACCAACAGATCTTAAAATAAGTCTGGAAAAAGTTTGTTTCTGTAAGAAGCCTTGAAATCATTTTCAATGCAATCATTGTTTAGAAAGTGCTAATTTAATCTGGCATAAGAAACAAAACGTAATTGCGTGAGTTAAAATTTAAAATATACATATATGTGTATATATCGTCAGATTTTAAATACTCTTCCTTTTCTACCTCCATTTATCGTACCAACAGATTTTTTAATAAATCTGGAAAAAGCGTTTATTTCTGAAAGAAGCCTTGAAATTATTTTCAATGTAATCATTGTTTAGAAAGTGATAATTTGATCTGACATAAGAAAAACAAAACGTAATTGCGTAAGTTAAAATATACATATATATGTATACATATATTGTCAGATTTAAAAAACTATATATTTTGTATTATAATAGACTTACAGAAATGTAACAACAATGGAGTGCAACAAATAGTCTTTAACTAAAAGTTATACGTGAAAACATCGTCTCGAGACATTGAACCGAGAGACATCGATTTATGTTGATCATTGTTAGATATTATTAATTTTGATCAGAGGGCAAGTCAAATTTACATAAGTCATATATATTATTTTCGTTCAACTCTGATTTTAATAAATACAGATCTTAACTTAAAGTCAGATTCGTGGTATTCGTTAAAAAAAGATGCGATATGCGTTGCCAATAAAAAAGTAATCGACTGCAAATTTTTTAAGGTGGTTTTATCGCGCAAGTACCAATCAAAAGTTAGTCCCTCTATATGACTAATAATTCAATAAAAACATTTCGCATAGACTGTATATATGCGATTGTGTGACGTTTATGTGACAACGTCACACTATCAAGTTGACGTGGTAAAACCACCTTAATGCGAGCTCATTTTGTCGGAACCAGTTTGCCGCATATCATTTGTATTATTACTTGAATAAATGAGTATAAATGAGTAGGAATCTAGGATTCTTAGAAGTTTTATAGAACCTCGTGAAAAATTAAAATAAAAAAACGCGCAAGGTTTGTAAGTCACACTACTTGCCGCGAGATTCGCCTTCCCGGGGTTAGCCTGCAGGTCAACCCTTCGATTTCGTTTTTCCCTCACGTTTAAAGGCAGGAAGTGCGAGCGACGATCGGCGACGATTTTCCGCGAACATGTGCGTGAGCACGTCGGAAACGTGACTTAAAACATACGTGACCAAGGCGATTAACGGTGCTTAACATTCTCCTACTCCCCTTTCGGCTGTTCCATGACGTCCACTCTGACGTCTATCGAACGCTTTCTTTCTCCCATACTCATTACCCATTTTTATCGGCGATTATCGATATCGCGGTCTAGACGGTCTTACATTCAACACTGTTATTCGACACTTTTAAATTCAGGCGATGCGTTTACATAATTAAAATTGCGCAATTTAATAGACCATTCAGTTGCATCGATAGTTCACATTCCATCTATTGCGATTATTTAATGCACGCGATGTACTTGGCCCCTTATTCCGATTTGCTAAATATCAGAAGCGGAGAAAATCGCCTTTTCCATGCTCTTTCCAATCATTAAGCGCGTATCCACTTAAAAATTTCTAGATAAAAGAAGAAAATTATAAACAAACGCTGGCAATTATTGAGAAAGTAAGCGCATAAATTAATCAATGGTTTCTTCGTCTCCTACATCGGCATCTGGGGGAGGGGGAGGAGGGAGGGTACATTAGAGGAATTCTACAATACATAGTTTACTGCGGTTAATTTGAAATTAACGTTGGTAAAAGTTACGAAGAACCTCCCATGAAATTCACGCTGCTTCTTTCGCCTTTTTGCTTCTTTCGCCTAGGAAAGTTGGCGAAATCTATAATGGCAATGACATGACTTTGTTGTCCTACGCTATTAAAAAACCAATTTAATCAAAATTTATTTAAATGATAAATATAAATTATGATTTAATTAAAAATCCAGGGATGACGTTAATGAAATAATAAGAAATGTATAAAATATTTTTTTGTGAAAAGATATTTTTTTCTCTGTCATAATCTTAAACATTTATAATTTAAAAACTGTAACATTCTGTATATGACACCCGCATTCTTATTATTATGCAATTTGTTTTTGCACCTGTACATTGTACGAGTTAGAAAGACATCAAAGAGTGTTTGCACTGACTCGATGCCTCGCTTAAGATTCGATTCCTCTTCTTCTTCTTCTTCTTCTTCTTCTTCGTCCTCGGAGCCGGCATAGCGGGGGCAATGTCAAGGTGGCCTATAAGGCCAGGCGCATCCCTGCCAGTTGATCATTTCTCGTCGAGAAACCTGATCGTTCCGCTGAGTAAATCGATAGGCACTACCAGTCGATCGTAACGAAGAAAGGATAGAAATAAGAGCAAGCTGTCAGAGATGAGGAATGCTGTACTACTGTGCTACGCGTGCTCACTGCTGATCGGCGTCCAGGCTATCGGAAGATACAGAGGCCTAGAATTTTTAGAGCCCTGTTCCAGAAGCGATCCAAGACTTGAAGGATGCCTCGCCAGAACGGCCAATACCCTCGTCGAGCGTTTCCGTCAAGGTGAGAAGTCGAAAATTTAAAGTTATTTATATACATGTATCTATAACATATATCAACCTCAAAGTTTTCTATTTTTTATTTAACTTTATGGGATAAAACATATGTTATCGTATCATGAGTGGATATCCATTTCTAAAATGACCAATTTTTGATCATATATCCCATATGTTAAAAAATTTTACTTAATCTAAATAAAAATGAGATTTGAAATATATGTATTAAAACTGTATAACAGAATTAAAATTTTATTGTTGATTTTATTTCGGCTTAATGATATTTGTGTTCGTTGTAATTAATAAACGGTATATCTCGAAGAACCTTGAGAGAGTTGAAGTACAGTTTAGGCTGCCGTTTCTTGCTGTGTCAAGTGAAGTCTCAGCAGATGATATAGGAATTTGCGGTTCGTCGAGATATTGCTTGAGCATTTCTCTGTTGTTAACTTCTTCACTTCGCGCAGTCGGGAATGTTAATAATTTTTGCAAACCAGCTATTGTTATCACGTTGAATGTTTAATAAAATATAGTAATATTTGAAAAGTCATAATATTGTAATATAAAGATATAAATTGAACAATTTTTTTTACTATTTATTACTCAAAACAAATACATATGTACAATTAATACTTCTGATTTTCCATTAAGTAAGAAAAAAATCAGAGAAATTATGTTAAGAATTAAAAATATACGAGAATAACAAGTATTTCTTAATTTTTATTAACTAAAAAAATATGTTATTCTTTTAGCTATAATAAGTCTTTCTATATACTTCTGACTAAGATTAAGAAATTTTTTGTGTAAACCTAAATGAAATATAAACCTATATAAAATAAGTATAATAAGCGAGTATTCAAAATTATTAACTCATAATATTCTTGTGGCATAATAATTAATATAAAAATAGTAAATTTGAATAGTACGTTATAATTGTAGTGTATTAGTGTGTCTTGTTTCATGTCCCGAAAATTTTAAGTTTTTGACATACAATAAAGACACGCTTCTTTTTTTTTAATAAAAAACGAATAAATATATAATAGTACCTCATATCATTTGTAAATAAACTGAAAGTTGAAAGTCTGAGATAAACCGGTTCCGTAACCACGTGGTTTTGTTAACGATCACAGCGTACGTTATAACGGTGTATTCGAATGGTCACCCAGTGTCCTACATTCCACTTGTATTGTACGATACTTCGGCACTCCTGGAGCAATAGCTTTCTTCAAGCGTGCCAGCGGCTGGAAAAGTACTGAAGTTATTTTTGGGTTTCATAAATTTGTTTAAACAGACTACCGATTAATAAGTAGTAAAATCGTGTGATATTGCTATCTAATCCTCAAATTCAAACAGAATCAGATTTAATAACGTCATTACGCTATTAAATCGAATTTAATCACAAGTTATGCAAGTGTTACGTGTGTATTTGTATGTGTGCGTCAGACAAATTCTTGAAAAATAAAAATTTCCAAAGAAACTTAGTTTCCAAGAAATCAAAACTTCGTTGCACTAAGAGAATTTATGTAGTTTGTGATAGAGGCCACGTATTACAACGTTTCTAACTATGTTGCAATTGCAGGTCTACCACAACTGGGTTATCCAGAAGTAGAACCAATTATCCTGGACGAGTTGCATATCGCGCTCGGAGGCGGCCCGGACGGTTACAGGGCGCAATTTAAAAACATTACCGCCAGAGGAGTCTCTGCTCTGCGAATAACCGGCCTAAGAACGAGAATGACCGACGACGAGGTGCAATTGCAACTGGCCTTTAGCATACCCAGAATTAGAGCGGCCGCGAGGTATCGGTCTAGCGGCACTTTGATCTTGGTGCAAGCCAGCGGCGCCGGCGATTATTGGGGCGAATACGGTAAGCCCGCTGAAAAATGTAACCAATTAGTTTTGTTACTCGGTAGCATATATGTATAATCTACCTATTACCGTACCAACTGTTGTTTCAAGATATTGATTACTGCATCCCGTGAGAATGAAGAAAGCACTGTAAAAAGTACGTAATGTTTTTCCGCTGAATCTTCGACCGAGTGAAATGGTAACTCGGTGCAAGTATGTCGTGACAGCAGTAACTTTCACTTTACGCAGTGTATATTTATTGTCAACAAACTTCACTTGCCATGTTAAATGCTATTCTGCTACTGTCAAACAGTTGTACTCGAAAATAATGGTGAATCGTGTACATATCCGAGCAATTTTCAATGTGTATATTTGAAGCACTATATTATTCCAAAAGCATAATTAATTAAAAATATTATGAAGCATCAGTGCATAAAATCGACGATTAAAAATTAATTGCATTTTAAGACCTCATTTCAAAAATATATAAATTTATTATAAATTACGGAAGTGTAGAATATGTTATTTATTAACAGCTTAACATTTGTTTCTACATTGGTTTTACATGAGAATCTCTGCTGTATCAATTGCTATATAAAGCCCCTTGCAAATGGCAACACAATTTATTCTCTTGTCGAAAGAGAAATATTTTTGAGAGAGGAATCGTGAAGGATATACATTCTCTTTCGAATGTCATTGCATTCGCGCCTTCTTAAAGGACAATCTGATGCATAAATTTTATTTACATCTTTCATATCACGATTACATACATAATTCTGAGCCATAATTTTATTTAAACATTTTTACGATATAATCATAGCAGTTAAACAATCTTGTTATTATTACATTTAATCAAAATGTATACTAAAGTGTACATTTAAACATTTATTTAGAACATTTATGTACAATTATAATCCTAACTATAATCAACTTAATGAAAAATGAAAAATTAAGGTTAAAAATTATTTTTCGAAATAGTTTAATTTGTTTACATAGTTTATTATTAATAACGGTCGTTATGAAAATGAAGTACGCCGACAGCATAATTTATGCAAATTTATTACAATTCTTTCAAAGATATCTCTTTTTTATTCATTATGATTTTATATTCAAAACTTTTCGTTTTTTTTTCTAGAGGGTGTCAGGGCCAAGGTCTTTATCAGAGCAAGACCATTTTTGTATGAGGGGCGTCGTTACCTCAGATTGATGCAACTGAAAATGGACTTCAGCGTACAGAATATCAAAATGGGAGTCGAAAACGTGCGCGACACTAACAGCATACTGCGTAAGTCCTAATTTCTGTAATAACTTTTCTCTGTAATAACTCAGATTGTTTCTTGATTGTGTATGCATATCAAAAGGAATAAAAAATCTTTATAATCCTAACAGTGTAATAATATTACGACAATAAAATAGAAAATATATTTTTAATGAGCATATTAACGCATTTAAATATATATACATTTGGATAAATAAGGAAATTAATAAAAAATTGTTAAAAAGTTAAAAAATTAATATGAGCTAAATTTAAATGAAAGAGCAAATAAGTCTCTAAGTAAACGCCATAGAATTGATATTTTTCGTTAATTCATTTAAAATTTGACATTAAAAACTTGTTTAATCTTGAATTACATACATATTCTAATATTACTTTTGTTTCAGTGGCGGCGCTCAATCTTTTCATCAATACCAACAGTCAAGAGTTACTAAAGGAAATGAAACCAGATCTAAGGAGGAAGTTGGTACAAGTGATGACGACTTTTGTGGAGAAACTTTTTGCTCAGGTGCCATACGACGCCTGGATCGCGGATTAAACAATCGTTTGATTGTAGAGAATTGAGAGAACAAAACTCAAGTATTAACGCGTTATTGGTGCACCTTTGTACCGTGAGCGCGAGGCTTGACGCGAAAGACAAAGAGCTCTTATTTTACGAATGTCATCTTCGAGATACAATGAAGGTACAGAATTTACAATGGAAATCACGGATGACATAAATAACGATGACTTATAACTGGTATTTCCAAGCGTCGAGAAAAAGTTTGCACGTAATGATCAATGATTTTTCTAATCTTGCACATGAATTGCCCAAAGAGCAATCTGCATTTGCAGAGATTAAACAATTACACTGCATATACAGGGTATTTTGTAAAAGAACTCGTCAAAATCCAAGCGAATTTTCGTTGAAAATATTGAATTTTGTTATTTCCTATGTAAAAGTGTTATTCGAAGCATAATTGTGAAGATGTTCGTGGAAAAAATTGAAGGATTTTGGATTTTAGGAACTCTAGGACTGCAAATCAATAACAAATACAGTTATGTACACAGACTTATATAATTTAGGATGGATTGCAAATAATTTGCAGAAACTCTTCTTGTTTTTACTATTCAGGATAATACATTATTTATTTCATCTTCATTTCGTTAGTGAAGAAGCTAACGATTAATCATTTGAAGCATTTCAAATACAACATATAAACAGCATATAACATGTTTACATTAAATTGAAATGTATTATTATTCAGACATACATTTATATATTTATTAAGAATTAGATAGTACATAACTTGCTAAAAAAATATATATATGATTAATAAAAATGTGAGTTTTATATGTACATAATGGATAGTATTCATTCTCTTCTTTCAGTATTAAATAAGAGTTGGTATATTTATTAAAAGAATTGTCTGTTTAGCCAATTGTTTTTCGATCTCCCTTTTAAAATAAATTAATAGAGTTTAATTTTGCTAAGTTTTACTCCTTCGTTACAAAGTTCTATTTTATAACATTATAGATAGATTTTAATTATTTAGAAACTGTTTCAATGCACATATATGTAGATTATGCGTTCTCAGAACAATCATTTACAACATAATTTACGATATTTTCTCAGAGTTCTTTCCAAAAAATCCGCTGTAATTCGCGGGATAAATATTGGATAAATAAAAACGCGCAATCTGGCAATACGTATTCTCGTTTTATTTTGCAAAGTTGCGTTATTTAAATTTCATACGTATAACTGTTTGCCACACTGACATGTGAGAATAATATGACAAATGAGCGTCAACACTATGAAACTTTAAAAATCTCGAGATAACAGAATAAATGGTAACTGGAAAATAAATGGTATCTGACAATAAAGTGTAATTATCGAAGTGAATTATCATATTGTGCGCGCGAGTCATATTTCAAAAGGCGAGTCATATATAAATGGATATCGAATAATTTGTTTTAATAAAAAACGAAAAAAGATCGTGTTTCTAATTAGAGAAATCATGTATACATTTTATTTATTCATTATCGCTTTATGTAGAAATCGCGATGATGTAATTAGTATCTGATATCTCACGGAACTTCTCAATGTCAATATTTGTTGCGTTTGAGAATTGATATAATTATTTTCTACAAAAGTCTGTGTGCAACAGTAATTGTTTTAAATATCAATAGAATTAAGGATTAAGAAAGAACCTGTTTAAAATTTCAAATGAGAAAATAATAGAAGCAAAATATTAATTCTGAGTTGCAAAAAAAGTTTTATACATAACACAATCAGTTATATCTCTTCAAATTAAATCGTGTTTTTTTTCTAGAAAATCTAAATACGGTATCCTTGTGTCGAGTAATAAATGCAATAAGTCTAGTTATTAGGAATTATTATTTCTTCTAACAAAAAATTGTACGCTTAGACATTTGTATCAAAGATCGCGAGCTGATTAGAATTATAACATTATGCAGTATCATTTTAAGGATATTAGTAAAAATTATAGTATTATTTTCTGAATACAAAAAATTATTACGTATTTTGAAATAATTAATCCATATTAATCCATTGCATAATATTCTTATCTTGCGTAAATAGACACATTAACGTAGAGATATAGCTTAACTTCTTGCACATTTGCGCGGAAAGATTTTTATTTTTTAATCACCAGCGAAATTATCGGCGACGACAATCTTTGCAAAGTGGGCGACAATCGCGAACTTTATTCCGGCTCTAATATCCAGTAAATAACATTAACATTCCGTAAAACGTGTGTCCACAATAGATACAATTACTGTATTTGCGTTCTCTCACAGGAAACCGATTATCACGGAGCGCGCGTCTCGGCGCGCGAGGTCGAAGCCACCTTGCTCACTACGTACTTAAATGCACTCCTATGTCAACGTTACGTCTTCCCTATTATCAAACTGGAATCGTAATATCAGTAATTGACGCTCGCTGACATGAGGAACCCGGTATCTAGATTTATTTTGCTGATTGGCGGGCGGTACGCCCAATCACTGGTATTGCCATATATGTGCTGTGCCGAAATTATTAGGTCAGTGGAAGCAGGAAATTACGATTGTGCTTTATGCACGTGATTTTCTGCGTGATAACTGATAGCTACTGCTAGAAATAATTTTTTGAAATGTACATAATAAAAATGTTTTTGTTTGAGAAAATATTGTACTGTTCGGCTTGAACTGTAAAAAAAATTATAAGAGAGCTCTGAGTCATATGACGTCTGGAATCTATTTGTGAGACTCCACGGATATTAAATTTTCCGCTGATTTTCTAATCACGATGTGCGTTGAAATTGCGAAAGCACATGTCTGACATATTTCAAACGAAGATATATTTCCAGAAATGGAAAAATATCATGTCACGTAAAAAGAAATCTGATTTATGTAGAGAATGACAAACGCGCGTTTATAGAAAGGATTATAATTTTAAAGTATTTGGATAAAACGTTATATAAAAAAATAAAAAAATAAAATATTATCAAACTTTTAAAAATAAAATAATCTATCGAAATATTTATAACGTGCATAAATAATAATAATCGCTTTTTTAATTGGATGTCAATCTGTCAACGTATGAAGGGCGTTGAATCGGCATAATGCGAGCATTATGTCACAGCTCTGATAACTTCAATGACTTTTTTGATTTGATGACTATCAATTATGACGTTTTTGCTAAGCTAGCCAGCTCGGCTACTCTCGTCTGTAAACAATCATTCTCGCATGTCAGGAAGTTACACTCTCTCTTGTAAGACGCAATTTATTGCGTCTCAACATCTGGAATCAATTTGCAGAAATCAGGGTTTTGAAATCGTACGTGTTGAAATGTGTTAGAAAATGATTACAAATAATTCAATCGTATATGTTATTTTATATAAATTCATCAAGAATATTACAAAATTCAAAGCATTTTGTAATATTCTTTATGTTCACAAAAATTGTATTTTTATCATTTTAATTATACGTGCATATGTTTTGTTTATATTTATATTTTATTAACTCCGTAAAGAAATTTTACAATATTAGAAGTAGAATTATTTAATCAAATAATTTTTTGTTAGAAGATATTTACCTTATAAAAATGTTTTGTCAGAAGATATTTATCTTATAAAAACGTTTTACATTTATTTTGCATTTTACTCAGAGATCTGGACCGGATCAAAACCGTTATTTTAGTCAGAACCGAAAACCGGACCGAAATATTGTGCAGATTAATGGACTGGATCTATAATCGGACCAAAAATTTTTTTTCCGATTTTTAGTTCCTTTTTCGGTTTGGTTTTCTGTTCGAAAAAAGATACACGATAGCTATATTTCCATCTTTTTTCCTAATCAAATTTAACGCCTCGCTCGATCTATAATTTTTACTATATTTATGGAATATCCCTGCTTTATGTCCGAATTGAAATCTTATTAGAAAGCTACAACTGAAAGCAGAAGAAAATCTCAAGAAAAATTAATAATCTTGGAATTCTGACAAGAAAAAATATGACTCATCCAGAGTTGTACAAATTAATTATAGCGATAGTTGTTCTAACGGTACCAGTCACGCAAGTGAGTGTCGAACTGTTCTCAAGATTAAAATTCGTGCTATTCCCGCTAAGAATGAACATCGATGAAACAATTCTGGAGAATCAACTATTGATTAAAGCTAAACCGAATTTTTATCAACAAAGATTTTGTTTAATAGAGACCAATTTTTTATAATATACAACTTATATTTGTATTACTTTTATTTTATACATAATACTTATCTTTTATAAATTTTACAATAAATAATTATATGTAACCGTAACCATAACCGTAACCGAGAAATACCGAAATCCAAACGGTTACGGTCACCGATATCGGCAAAAGAACTGAAATCGAAACTGAAACCGAAACCGAAAATTGGGTATAGTCTCGGACTGTAACTGTAACCGGACTGAAATTTTCTTTCGATCCGGGTCCCTGATTTTACTTGCAACGATTTAATATTATATGGCTTCACTTTACGTTATGACTATGATGTATGAACTTTGATTCTCGCGCATTAAAATTTACATATTCTTTTAACTTTAGGAAAAACCATGAAAATCTATACCTTTTACGCGTATATTTCCATCAATTCGTGAAACTCATTATGCATTCTTCTACTATGTATACCTCTATATACACGTGTATAATCACATTAATGGTCAAATAGCAATGCCTTTTGTCTGTACGTTGCGTAATGTGTGCGGACATCTTAAAACATTCATCTTTTATTATTTAGTTGATCACTTAAAAGATATTTTTTTTACAGAGAAAAAGAAACTATAACCAGAAGAACTACAATCGTGGGCGTGGGTACGTTTTAAGCAATCACATTTCTTTACATCACACGCGATTGTTAAAAAAAATTTAATTTTTATACCAAAAATATATAAAAATAGAATAAATATAAAAGAGATATATTAAATTATACAAAATGCAAATTTCAAGATATATATGTTACAGGAATAACATAGTTTCTAAAAATTTGTCAATTATTTAAAAATTATTATCTATATCTAATTAATGAGAAAACATACTCATTTCTTTGATAATGCAATAAATTAATTACGTAATTATAAATATTTTGACAATCTAATTAAAATGTTTCTTTTTTCTTTCTGACAATTTACGATAAAGTATTGGGCACAATTGGAAAGAGCGAATTCAACCCTTAAATTAAAGTGTCAGTAAAAAGAATTTTAAAGAGCATTAAAGTTATTTTTTACTTGCTCTGAAAATCTACTACAAAATTTATTATATTAAAAAGGGAGAATCACGCACACAAATAACCTCCATTCTGTCTGCAATCGCGTATTCTAAAATGCGCAAAGCGTCCTGTTTGATACGCAACACCACTTTTGTATGATAATCGAATAAAATGATGAAATCACTGTCTGCCTCGATATTTCGAAATTTACCAATTTATCGTGACAAAAACCTTAAAATCAGATCATTTCTCTTACAGCAGTCTACTGCTAGAAATTTCTTTGTAGGATCACGCTATTAGACAATTACCGCCACGTAATTAAATAAAAATTATTTCTATAAAAGAAAACTCTACGATATATTCTGTTTCCGATAAAACAATATGTACTTCGCTACATAGAAATAAACAGACAGATTTGATTGATTTTGATGACGATCTGCGCCGCCAATTCTCATGTATAATACCTTTTCTGGTTCATACTCGATCGAGATGTTACAACCTTGTCGTTTCCTTTTAACTTTCCAATAGAAGTCCATGAGATACGAAATCGAGGCAATATCCGCGTGGTATCATTTTACAAAAATGTATATGCTAGGCCGTCATTGCCTGGATAATATGCATGTGTGTCCACGAGGCAAGATCATCCACGTGTTTGTTCTCACGATCGGCACGTGCATTTTTTTCCTCTCCGTGAATTCATGAAGGCAGATATCATGTAAGTAACAATAATGGCTTTCGTTTTGTTTGAGACGGGCGGCATGCGGAGAGGGAGGGATGGTCACTGTTATAAGACGTTCGGATTGCCATCCGAATCACACACTTCCAGCCCGACCATCATCCTTGGACCACCTGCCGTCGTGGGTCCTCGGTCCAGCAATCTCGTCGTCGAATCTCGCACCCAGGCATCGATTGCCGGAAGGCAATTTCGTTGAGCTTCCTGTCTGCCCAGTTTCCGTTTCTGTGAAGAATGGCGTCAGCGAAGGCAATGTCCATCACGATCCTGTTGGCCGTGGCGACGACTAGTATGATAGCTGCACGAAATATACGTAAGTAAGGCAATATGGATAATAAAGGTCCCTCAAAATAATACGGTGTTATCAAGCACCGTATTATTAAGCACTTCGACGTTTTTAACATCGGCCTTCCAAATAACTAACAATTGAAAATATCAAAGAAAAAAAATTTTTTTTAAATAGTTTTATTTTATTTACATTATGCTTGCCAAAAATAAATATAAGTGTAAAATTATTCCATCATGTGGAATAATTATGTTGATTCGCGTTACTGTGCTATTACATTATTATGCAAAGATGCTATCAAATAATTAAATACTTAAAGCCATTAATATCTATTATCATAGTATCACAATTAAAATCTTTAAATAGATTTGCAATTTAAAATGTACTTGTGTCTGCACTAACACTTAAGCTATTATTGTCGTTAAGATCACTTGAGACAGTCTATATTATATAATTTTCATTGGAATTCATTATAGAAAAATACAAATAGAATTCTATTTATAATTTTGCGTGTACGGTATAAAAAAACATTGGAAAAATTATAAAACATACACACATACAAATGTACATTCAAATTAAATCCGTAATTCATAATAGGTTTTAGGAATTTTATTTAATTTATAATTTATTGAAAAAAAAATTTTTTATTTATTCGATCTTTTTTAAAATTTTTTTAGTTTAATCTTTTTATATAAATGTAAAAGAAGCCAATATAAGCAGACACAGGATATTTTAAATAGAATATATTCGATCAAATCGATATAAATTAAAGCGCAAACGTTTGTATCAATTTGATCAAATATATTATTCTATTTGAAACACACTTACAGCCTGTGTCGACTTATATTGACTTCTTTCACATTTATAGATTTATATCATTAGATTTAAGTCTAAATTTATATTGAATTTTTTTTAGTTTTTTAAATTTAATATTTTAAATACATAAAAAGTATACTTATTCTTTTTAAATGTACAGATATGTAAGTACACATGCGTTTATTTCTTCAACGAACTCAATGCTGCAAGAAAATTAGAAAGGACAAATCTTTTATTCTTTCTTTAATAATATATAACTTTGACCAAAAAAAAGAACTGTTTGCACAAGAAACATTTGTAGAGGCTTTATGTACATTAAAGACTCACATGCATTATTAAATTTTATACATTCGAGTGTATGAATTTCTAATCTTATTTTATATATAAATATTATAATCAATTTTGCTGAATGCCTGTAAATATAAAATTGCATAAAGAGCAAAACTTAACTTTTAAATTAACATACGCTTTTTTATAAATTAATCAAATTTACATTAATGTAAATGTATTTGAATAGCAAATAATAAATATTTAATACGCGTTCTTGTTCAGAGATCGTATAAATGCATTAGTAAAAGAATAATTAGGGGAAAGTTGCCGAATGCGTACCGGTCTCATAAAGCGTACCTCTTCAATATTTTATAGTTCCACTTAATAGAAGCAACATATAGTTACAAAAATATGAAGTAAAAGAAATGTGTGAGACAGACAAAAAATAAACAGGTT